AGTGTCAACTGCCTTTTCAGAAATGAGAATTTCACTTTTTCCTCCCTTACGTCCACTTTCCTCTTCCACAAGTTGAGAGCTTCGCTTAGGCAGTTTCTGTTGCTGATGTAATCGAATGGTCACTTTTGTTCTGGTACGGTTACCTTTAGATACTTTAAGGAAAAGCCACACATCAGCTTGAGCCACCACTGACAATTCACTGCCTTCTTTAGAAATTTCAAAATGCAGCATTTTTCTGGCAGGACCTACAATATCAATAAAGGAAGGAAGGGAGGGAGGGAGGGAGGGAGGAAGGAAGGAAGGAAGAAAATCAGTTAATAACAACAGAACAGTTTTTTTTTAAAAAAAAATAGAGTAAAAGTAATACCATAGCAAAGCATATTATTTTATTTGAGCTTATCATTGGTAATAGATAATATATCTAATAATATAATTATTGTGGCCTAGAATAAAATTCCTTGCCCTTTTATATAGTACCCTCCCTTACCTACCTGCCCCACTTCCACAATTTGAGCATTTATCTCAAAATTGCCAAAACAAACTATCCCACATGCTTTAAACCAGAATTGAATATTAGGGTGGTGGCCATCTTGAGGAAAGTGATTATTGTACTATTATTTTTTCCTTCACGTGTTATAAAATAATTCAATCTGCAGATTAGGAGAAGAGAAGGTAGGGAGGGAGGGAGGGAGGGAGGGAGGGAGGGAGGGAGACACTGAATGTGGGTAAAGCATTTATGTCCAAATAGCATTCTTTTTGCTATGACTTCAAAGGGATCTCTCTCCCCCCCACACACACCTCTATCTCTGTATATCTGGAATGTCCTCCCTCTCTCATATTTAAAAGTGCATTGCAAGCAAAAAAAACCTGCAAAGACATATCTTTTCACATATATAGTAAACTAAGCTTAAACATTATGTTCTAACACAAGTTTATTGGAGTAGCTTCAAGTGACATTCACAACATGATTACAAAAGTATCTTCAGCATAGCCATCTTCACTGAGGTAACAGTGTAGTATTTGGATGGCTTCTTTAATCAAGCCAATCCAACCTTGGTTTCTCTTCTATTGACTCAAATATATTAACAAAACCTGTTATTATAATGTGTGAGTAGTTATAGATTATTGAAATGTTTCCAGCTTTGAGATACGATAGTTGATTTTTCTGGAAGACCAATGTTCTCCAGAAATGCCAGTTTAAAAAATGGTACTTTGATAGTTATAATTGCTTTCGAAATTAAATGTTATTTCATACAAAATTCAACACAGCACTGTCTTGATTTCATGATAAAAAAATGATCTTTTAGACCTGAAGTACGATTTCTAGTGTTATAACACAGATATATCACTGACATCCTTAGAATGGAAATGTGGTAGAAAACTTACTTGAACTTTTGAAGAAATGTCCCGCATTGATCTGATCCCTCATTATTCCTACTAAAATCCAAACTCTGTCAATGACCTTGGAATACTCATCTCTAATGATCTAAGTGCTAGAGCCCACTGTAACTATATAGCCAAAAGGCATTAAGAGTTGTTAACCTAATCCTATGTAGCTTTTTCTCTGGTAATATCACACTACTAGCTAGAGCATACAAAACATTTGCCAGACCAATACTCCAATACAGCTCATCACTCTGGAACCCACATTACGTATCTGATATTGACACAGTTGAGAAAGTCCAGAAATATTTCACAAGAAGAGTTCTCCACTCCTCTACTCATTGCAGAATACCTTATGCCACCAGACTTGAAATTCTAGACGTAGAAAACCTAGAACTAGGTCAGATCTAAGTATAGTATATAAAATCATACATTGCAATGTCCTACCGGTCAATGAATACTTCAGCTTCAACCATAACAATACAAGAGCAAACAATAGATACAAACTCAAGGTTAACCACACCAAATTTGATTGCAGGAAATACGACTTCAGCAACAGAGTGGTCAATGTCTGGAATACTCTACCTGACTCTGTGGTTTCTTCCCCAAACCCCAAAAACTTTAACCTTAGACTTTCTACTATTGACCTCACCCTTTCCTAAGAGGTCTGTAGGGGGCATGCATAAGTGCACCAAAGTGCGTACCGTCCCTGTCCTATTGTTTCTTTTATTTTTCTTATATGTACTCATTTCTTGTATTCATAACTATGTTTATCCTTATACCTATTATCTTGTAAGCGATTGACAAATCAAATAAATAAATAAATAACTCACTAACAGAGATGAAATTCTCATTAACAGATGAGATTCTCACTAACAGAGATTAAATGATAGAAGGTGTTGAAGCTACAGGAACCTTGGGGGCAAGTGATCATGCAATATTGGAATTCAACATTATGCAAGCACAAGTAGTAGAACAAAGTCAAACTAGAATCTTTAAGAGAACTAATTTCAATAAACTTAGAGAGAGCTTGGGAAGGCTTCCATGGATGAGAATCCTCAAGAAGAAAATAAGTCAAGAAGCTTGGCAAATTTTGAAAAGTGAGGTTATAAAAGCCCAGTCTAGCACAATACCAATGAAGAAGAAAAATAACTGCTCTCAAAAGAAACCAGCATGGCTGTATAAACAACTCTTTGACAAATGGAAAGACAAAAAAGACAAGTATAAAAGTAGAAAGAGGGGCAAATAACCAAGGCAGAATATCAGCAAATAGCCCAAGCCTATAAAGATGAAGTGTGGAAAGCTAAGGCTCACAATGAACAAAGGCTTGCAACAAAAGTAAAAAAATAACAAAAAAAAAGCTTCTTTCAACATGTTAAAAATGAGAACAAAGTCAAAGAAACAATTGGTCCACTGCTGGGAGAAAATGGCAAGAAGGTGACAAGCAACATGGAGAAGGCAGAACTACTCAACTCGTTTTTTGCATCTTTCTCTACACAAAAGGAAAAAACAGCTCAACCTATCAAAAACCGCACTACAAAAAATAGATTAGGAACACAAGTGAAAATAGGGAAGAAAATGGTAACTGAACACCTGTCTACCCTAGACAAGTTCAAATCACCAGGATTCTATGGATTACACCCTAAGGTTGTGAAGGAACTGGCAGACGAGATCTCAGAACCACTGAAATATATTTTCAAAGATCAGGAGCACCAGGGAACTGCTAGAGGACTGGAAAAGAGCTGATGTAGTTCCCATCTTCAAAAAAGGGAAAAAATAGATTCAGGAAACTACAGACCTATCATCCTGACCTCAATACCAGGGAAGATTCTAGAAAAGATAATCAAGCAATGAATCAGCAAACACCTAGAAGCAAACAAAGTAATAACTGAAAGCCAACATGAGTTTATTAAAAACAGATCATGCCAGACTAATCTTATTGCATTCTTTGACAGAGTGACAAAATTAGTTGACAGAGGAATGCTATAGATATAATTTACTTGGACTTCGGTATGGCATTTGATAAAGTAGACCATAACCTACTACTAAATAAAGTAGAAAAATGTGAGTTAGACAGCATCACCACCAGATGGATATGTAACTGGCTGACCAACTGCACTCAATGTGTAGTCCTCAATGGGAGTGCATCTACATGGAGGGAAGTATGCAGTGGAGTACCCCAAGGCTCTGTTTTTGGCCCAGTACTCTTCAACTCCCAAAACAAAACAAAAAAGCAGATTACCCATATCAATAAGGAAACTTCAATCCAAAAAGAGATCACTCTGGTGGAAAAACAAATCTGGTCACGTTGCCAATTTCAAAAACCGATACAAAAATTTATGCCACCAGATAAAGACCGAATGCACCAATTATCACATTAAACAAGAGGAAAACCTTCTAAGCACCAATTCCACCCGTGCTTTTTACAATTTTGTAAACAACAAACTAAAAGACTCAAGGTCCATCCCTCCCTTGATAGGACCTGATGGTAAAGACTGCAACGACGACACCATTAAAGCCAACATCTTTAACACATTCTTCGGCTCAGTATTTGTAAACAGCAATGGATCATGCCCAGTATTTCCTAGCCGTACCACAGATAACAACAATGATCTAATACATATCGATTTCACAGAAGACAATGTTAAAAAATCACTACGCAATCTAAAACCATCTCTATCTATTGGACCGGATGGAATATGTGCCTACTTCCTAAGAAAGCTATCCACTGCCATAGCCAAACCTCTAAGCATAATCTTTGAAAAATCTTTCAGGACCAGCTCCTTGCCTAACCTATGGTCACAAGCCACAGTCATCCCCATCTTCAAAAAGGGAGACCGAAGCCTAGTTGAAAATTACAGGCCAATCTCCTTATGCTGCATCACCTGTAAAGTCATGGAATCAATTATTAACCAATCCATCATCCTCCACTTAGAGACAAACAACCTACTCTCCAATAAACAATTTGGTTTCAGAAAAAAACTATCCTGTAATCTGCAACTCTTACACTGCAAAAACATATGGACGACACAACTCGACCAAGGCAAAGCAATAGAGGCAATCTACATAGACTTCTGTAAAGCCTTTGATTCAGTGGTACACGACAAACTACTCCTAAAAATAAAATCCTATGGTATCTCTGGACAACTGAATAACTGGATAGAAGCATTCCTGTCAAACAGACAACAAATGGTCAAAATCGGGAGCGTCCTATCAAATCCAGTACCTGTCAATAGTGGTGTCCCCCAGGGCAGTGTTCTAGGACCAACTCTCTTCATACTCTACATAAACGACCTCTGTGATCATATTAAGAGCAATTGCGTTCTCTTCGCTGATGATGTAAAGCTGTTCAATACCACAGACAATACTGCTACCCTACAAAAAGATCTTGACTATGTATCTGAATGGTCAAACAAATGGCAACTTCAAATCTCAACAAATAAATGCTCTGTCCTACATATTGGCAAAAAAAAATCAGAAAATAAAATACAAGCTGAATAGCCAAGATCTTGTTGATGACCCAAGCTCTGTAAAGGACCTTGGAATACTCACCTCTAATGATCTAAGTGCTAGAGCCCACTGCAACTACATAGCCAAAAAGGCATTAAGAGTTGTTAACCTAATCCTACATAGCTTTTTCTCTGGTAATATCACACTACTAACCAGAGCATACAAAACATTTGCTAGACCAATACTCGAATACAGTTCATCAGTCTGGAACCCACATTACGTATCTGATATTAGCACAATTGAGAAAGTCCAGAAATATTTCACAAGAAGAGTTCTCCACTCCTCTACTCGTTGTAGAATACCTTATGCCACCAGACTTGAAATTCTAGAACTAGAAAACCTTGAATTACGC